CAGCAGAGAGTGAACACGCAAATTAACAAACTCAGAAATGAAAAGGGGGACATAACAACAGACTCTGAGGAAATCCAGAGAATCATTAGGTCATACTTTGAAAACCTGTACTCCACAAAATTCGAAAATTTAAAGGAAATGGATGACTTCCTGGACAGCTATCATTTGCCAAAACTAAATCAAGAACAGATAAGCAATTTAAATAGACCTATAACCCCTATGGAAATAGAAGCTGTCATCAAAAGTCTCCCAACCAAAAAAAGTCCAGGTCCAGATGGCCTCAGTGCAGAATTCTATCACAAATTCAAAGAACAGCTTATACCAATTCTTCTCAAAGTGTTCCACAAAATAGAAGCAGAAGGGTCTTTGCCAAACTCTTTCTATGAGGCTTCAATAACCTTGATCCCCAAGCCACACAAAGATACAACTAAGAAAGAGAACTTCAGACCAATATCCCTCATGAACATTGATGCAAAAATACTCAATAAAATACTGGCAAATCGGATCCAAGAACACATCAAAACAATCATTCACCACGATCAAGTAGGTTTCATCCCAGGGATGCAGGGATGGTTCAACATACGAAAATCCATCAACGTAATCCACCATATAAACAAGCTGAAAAACAAAAATCACATGATCATCTCACTAGATGCTGAAAAAGCCTTTGACAAAATCCAACACCCCTTCATGATAAAGGTCTTGGAGAGATCTGGGATAACAGGGACATACTTAAACATAATAAAAGCCATATACACTAAACCAACAGCCAACATCAAACTAAATGGACAGAAACTCAACGCAATTCCTCTAAAATCAGGAACAAAACAAGGCTGTCCACTCTCTCCATACCTTTTCAACATGGTACTTGAAGTTCTAGCTATAGCCATACCACAACAAAGGGGGATCAAGGGGATACAAATTGGGAAGGAAGAAGTCAAACTTTCACTGTTTGCAGACAATATGATAGTTTACATCAATGACCCAAAAAACTCTACCAGGGAACTCTTACAGCTGATTAACACCTTCAGCAAAGTGGCAGGTTACAAGATCAACTCAAGAAAGTCAGTAGCCCTACTATATACAGATGATAAAAGGGCTGAAAGAGAAATCAGAGAAACATCACCCTTTACAATTGCCACAAACAACATAAAATACCTTGGGGTAACGCTAACCAAACAAGTGAAAGACCTGTATCATAAGAACTTTGAATCTTTAAAGAAAGAAATTAAAGAAGCCCTCAGAAAATGGAAAGATCTCCCATGCTCTTGGATAGGTAGGATCAATGTAGTAAAAATGGCAATCCTGCCAAAAGCAATCTACAGATTCAATGCTATCCCCATTAAAATCCCAGCACAATTCTTCACAGACCTTGAAAGAACAATAATCAATTTTGTATGGAAAAACAAAAGACCCAGGATAGCCAAAACAACCGTGTTCAACAAGGCAACGTCCGGAGGCATCACTATCCCTGACCTCAAGCTCTATTATAGAGCGATAGTCCTGAAAACAGCTTGGTATTGGCACAAAAATAGACAGGCAGACCAATGGAATCGAATTGAAAATCCGGGTATTAACCCACACACGTACGAACATCTGATCTTTGACAAAGAAGCTAAAAATATACAATGGAATAAAGAAAGCATCTTCAACAAATGGTGCTGGCATAATTGGAGACTGGCATGTAGAAAAATGCGGATTGATCCATGTTTATCGCCATGCACAAAACTTAAGTCCAAATGGATCAAAGACCTCAACATAAATCCAGCCACACTGAACCTCTTAGAAGAGAAAGTGGGTGGTGCCCTTGAAAGAATTGGTACAGGAGACAGCTTCCTGAACATAACACCAGTAGCACAGACAGTGAGATCAACAATTAATAAATGGGACCTACTGAAACTGAGAAGCTTCTGTAAGGCAAAGGACACAGTCAGCAAGACAAAAAGGCAGCCCACAGAATGGGAAAAAATATTCACTAATTCTACATCTGACAGAGGGTTGATCTCCAAAATTTACAAAGAACTCAAGAAGCAAGTCTCCAAAACAGCAAAGGACCCAATTAAGAAGTGGGCTGCAGAACTAAATAGAGAGTTTTCAATAGAGGAGTCTAAAATGGCTGAGAGGCACTTGAGAAAGTGCTCAACATCCTTAGCCATCCAGGAAATGCAAATCAAAGCAACTCTGAGATACCATCTCACTCCTGTCAGAATGGCTAAAATCAAAAACACCAATGACAATTTATGCTGGAGAGGATGTGGTGAAAGGGGGACACTCCTCCATTGCTGGTGGGAGTGCCAACTGGTTCAGCCACTTTGGAAAGCAGTATGGAGATTCCTCAGAAAAATGGGAATAAACCTACCACAAGACCCAACAACTGCACTCTTAGGCATATATCCAAAAGATGCCCATTCATATAACAAAGATGTCTGTTCCACTATGTTCATAGCAGCTTTATTTGTAATAGCCAGAACTTGGAAGCAACCTAGATGTCCCTTACCCGAAGAATGGATAGAGAAAATGTGGTACATCTACACAATGGAGTACTATTCAGCAGAAAAAAATAATGGAATCATGAGATTCGCAGGCAAATGGATGACACTAGAAGAAACCATCCTGAGTGAGGTAACCCAGTCACAAAAAGAGAAAAATGGCATGTACTCTCTCATATATGGATTTTAGACATAGATCTGGGGAGTGCCAGCCTACAATCCTATTTCCAGAGAGTCTGGGAAACAGAAACTTCATTTACTGGCTGGTTAAGTACTGAGCTGAACTCAAGAAAGCCAGTATCAGAGAGGGAGTACTGATGACCAAAGGGATTAAGACTGGGCTGGTTGAACCCCAGAAACAGCTGACCAGACAAAGGTTAACTCTTGAATCCCAGGCATCAGCCTGGGGATCCAGCATGGGACTGATCAAGACCCCCTGAATCTGGGTGTCAGTGAGGAGGCCTAGGTAATCTATTGAGCCTTGGACAGCAGATCAGTACCCATCCCAAGTATACACATGGTCTCTGGACTCCCATAGAACAATGTGAGGTGCACTCTCACCCTGAACTCTTGGGGAAGGGTCTAGGCCCTGCCCTATATGAAATGACAGACTATGGACACCCCCATGGAGGGCCTCACCATCCCTGGGGGAATGAGGGGATAACGGGGGGGATGGGGGAGGGCACGGGAGGAGGGGAGGGAAAGGGAGAGGGACCTCGTACTGACTTGTGAAGCAACCTAGTTTATTATCTAAATTTAAAATGGAAAATAAAAAAATATTAATAAAAAAAGTAAAAGAAAAGAAAGATAATTAAATACTTTGTTATAACAAAAAACAAAACAAAAAAAGTAGATCAGGGAGATAATGACACTGTGACTGAAGTGCTGGCAGTGACAGTGTCAGAAGCTGGGACAAAATCTCCTGAAAGCACCTGACACTGGGTGTGGTTAGCTAACTCTATATACCTATTCCATGTTCTCTTTAGGTGACATGGCACAGGGAGATGGGGGAAGATCTGGTTTCTCAGCTAGCATTGTAGACACAGTGCACACAGATTCTGTTGGAACAAAATGGCCAGGGAAGGCCAGCACTCCAGGAAGTCTTCTCACATCTGCATATGTGCTGAAGCACCTGTGCATTGTTGTTCACACATGATCATGTACATTTTGTAAAATGTATGCAGATCATGGAAATGTGTAAACATAGTTCATACATTTAAGATTCCAAAAGGGAAATCCACAAATATTGGAGCAAACAGTTGTCAAATAACTCAGCTCATTAATTTACTTACTTTTCTTTTCAAGTTTCTAAAGTATGGGTTGCTTATTGCTTGTCTGGCATTATTCAAAAATCACTGGTGTTGTCATATTTTTTGGTTGCTGAGTGTGCCCATATATTTCCAATTTCCCAACAATTCTTCCAGTGTGTGTACAAAGAGCCTCTTCCTCTCCTGGTGGGTGGGTGACCAGGGTTACCATTCAGTGGGTGAAAGCAAATCCAATACTCTCTGGCCTCTGCTCCCTGTTTTCTGGCCTCTGCCCTGAGTGTGTGCACGAGTAGACTGGCTCTCTCTGCAGGATCCTGGATACTTAATCTTCTGTTGAGGGGAGAGTTGACCTGGCTGTGGTCCACAAGCCACGAGATCAAAACGAGGGTGATTTGCAGGAATTTTTGGCTAGGATGGGGATCTGGAACTCACCTCTGCCCTTTGACCTGAGTGTGGGTGGAATTGGACCTCCCCCTTATTCTATTTTAAACTACAGAACCTCACTTGTTTCTCCCTAGTGTTCATGGCCCACGTTTTCTTTTCATTTGAATGGGGTCACAGAAAACAGGCCAAAACTATGAGCAATATGTTTCTAGAATTCATTGTACTTCTGCTCTCAAACACGCTGACTCTCTAGAAAACTTTCAAGACAGGCTTGTGCCATGCTCTGGTCCATGGAGGTTTATTTCCTCATGCTGCTTCTCAGCCTAAGTTCCTAGAATCCTTATCTAGCTGGAACTGAGTATTCCATGCTTATTGTCACACAAATACTGTACAAGTCTTGAGTATACTACGTACTAATTAAATTACTGAGGGCACTCCATCACAAATTCTTTTGCTTATAGCTAGGTTTGCAATGTGGAAGGCATGAGTAGAGTTTCCTCCATGCTGGGGTGTTCCCTAAATTCCTTCGTGATATCAGAATCAGTCTTTGTGGAAACTGCTATGTTTATGCTTATGCACAACCTTTTGATATGTGCACAACCACTCACAGTAGATTCTTCTAGAGGTAGTCTCAATAGACATGCTGTTTGTAAGATCTGCTCCTTATGTTGAATGCTTCCCAATGCCTCCTCTTCAATCCTTTTACTACTATAGTAGGGGATCCTAGGCTGGTTTTGGTATGTTCACTAAATTTACTATGCTGAATGACCACATGCTGTGTTTTCTTTAGTCTAATTTATTTAGTGAAATCTTTGTCTCTCAGACACATTCACACACACAGACACACACACACACACACACACACACACACACACACACACACAATGCTATGTGTTTGTGTTATTGACAGCTAGAATGACCAGATGGCAGGATAGCAGGAGACAGCTTTTGATGTTCCCTATCTTCCATTTTCTCTCTTAGAAAAGGGGCACCATCAGAACTTACAAAGATGTAACTCTTTTACCCCAGTAATGTTTCCAAATTTTAATTCATGCAGGCATGACTATTGAGATCAGCAAGAAAGTTCCCTGGAAACCTATATAGAAATGAAGGATGATCTTGTAAAGGTGGCAGCTGACCTCCAAAGAAAAAACATGGAAGAGGAAGCATTTGTGGAGTACTACAAATTTTTAACGTGAGAGCTTGCTGTTCCCATCTCCTTTCCTGTGACTGACCCCTCACTAATACGGTCCTCTGGTTCATGCTTCTGTCCTGTGCTGACCTTATGGAACTTGACAAAGACATGTATTAGTCTGATTTCTGGCAACTCACACACATGCTTTTCCTTAATATTCAAAGACATGAGGACCAAAAGTGGTGGCATTTCAAGAGTAGTTCATAAGCTTGTGCCCACATGGCCCAGATTTGAGGGGAAACATTGGAAGGAAAGCATGATGTCTGAATTTGTGAGTGTGTTGAGTGCACAATCTAAACATAGGAATTCAGCCACAGGCTTATTTCTGTGTGTGCCAGATCCCAGAACTCCCTTCGCTTAATCCTGTAGTCTATTGATTAGGATAAGCAAGAGGTTAGCCTTTCCTGTAGCTACACAGTCAGCAGAGGACTGTAGACTACCTGGGGTCAACGTGGCTCAGGACAGGGTCATTGTAATTGGGTAGGCAGAATAAATACAAGGTGGCAGAGCTGTCACTTGAAATGACGCTTATATCCTCAGTGATATGAATGTTCTGTGTTTGAGGAAGGAGTGTTGGTAAATGTCTCACCCCTCATGCCTAGCGTGAGTTTGGTGAAACAGAACCTAACGGGATATGTGCAGGTGACTCTAAGGTGCCAAGCTCTGTGGAATAATGTGTGGGCATGACATCATTGAACTTCAGAAGACTGTGTGTGCTGAGCAGGCACATTGCCCTCACATTCTACAGAGGAAGAGAAAGTTCATGAACTCAGACACCACAGGCCACAATTCCAAGAGCATGGCTTCTTTGGTTTTCCATCATTGGCATTCTGCAAGGTGAAGGCAAATCTTGTGACTACACTAAATATCACTCTCATTTCTTCTCTCTTCCAAAGACAAATAAGTTTTACTAGGGGACTTCTGTGTCCTAACCAGACATCAGTTTGTCACACTGATTTTCAGTCCCACCCTCCACTCAAGAATATTTCTTGTTTCTTGGACTGACAAGAGTGTTGACATAGGTTAGCGGCCCGTCTGGGGGTGGTATCTGACTATGCACCACAGCACAGCTCCCCACAGCTCTATGTACCCCCAGTGTCTCTTTTCTCTACCTGTTGCTCTCAGAGGTGAGGTTGTGCCCCGCTGGAGTCAAGCACTGTGGTGTTGTTTGAGCAAACATCCATATACTTATTGCGTGTGGAAAAATGAGACCACTATCTGTATCCTGGTTTGAAGTTCAGTAGGATGGTCTGTTTCCTCACAGTCCTGTGAGTTCATTAACTCTATCTGTGCTCTACTGAGTGCTGGGATGACAAGCATGCACCATGTTGGCTTTCATGTACTTCTTAATGGCTGGTATTTACTAAATGTACCAGCTGATGGAAGAGTGAGGACTATTGTCTCTTCAGACACTGTAAGGGAAAAGGATGTGGGACTTCAGGATGTGCCTCTTCTCACTCCAGGACATTCTGAAACTGCATAGAGAGGCCTGATTTCTACAGGGTCTCATTTATACATTTGGAACTTCTCTACACACCATAGTCACTCTGCTTTATTCTTGTAGATCTATGTGGAGAAACTCAGAAAATGCCCTAAATAGCCCAACTCCATTTCCAAGGCAACAAGATCCAAAATCAATAAGTTGGGTCTTCACTGTCTATATGGCTAACCTGAAATCAGTAAAGAAACAGGGAGCTACTCAGAGAAAAGTCAGAGATCCTGACCCTCGGTGGGTGGGGAGCTGATGCTATCTCAGCATCACAGAACAGTGGAAAGTGATAGCATGTAAGGAAGTTCAAGTCATGTGTAAGATATTAGTCCCGCTCCCCATTTGTTTTCTCTCCCTCTTTTATGACTTTAGGACTCTTCTTTTTCTCCTTTTAGGGTTTGTGTTGCAGACTACAAATAGAGTCTTTGATATTGCCGAGACACTGAAGAGCAAACTCCTGAGACAATAAAGCAAGGAGTATTCAGGTTTCCTGGCAGATAAGGTCAGTGTGTGAGCATGAAGACAGGTTGTTTGTGTATCATCTAGTCAGCCTTTGACCGGGGACTGTGTTGTGCTGTTTTTGTGGAATCTGTGTTCAATACATGTACTCTACAATCACATAAACACACACACAAGCACACAGACACACACACATGCACACGCATATTGTGCACTTAGGTACTCCGAATATTGACAATGAATTGTTACTTAAGATTGCTATAGAGCAAGTGGGAAAGTGGTTGGTTTTTTTTCATAGACCAGAGTTATGACAGAGAGCATGGAGACTGTGATGATGTGATAGACCTGAATACATCTCTACTTTGTTCATGTCTTTGCTGACAATTCTTTTTCCTCTATGATTTGAGGTATAAGACTAATCACTTTTCTCTATAAAAAAAGAGAAGTGGAAGAGGCAGAAATCAAGGCCCTCTGGGCAGATGTAAGGAATACAATCAAAAACTCCCCAGACTTTGTGAAATAGTGCTCTCCTGTGGATAGACTCGTGGATGGAGTTGATGAAGATAGTGGAGAGGTGGGCCCCAGATTGGAATCAGCATCAAAAATTTTTGAAGAATCTTTATCTGGAACCACTCCACAGGAAGCCTTTGAAGAGATCACCCCCAACACATCATCAGACAAGCACTGTGTGGAGACTAAGGTGGTAGAAAATCCCGGTAGCTCACCACCAGTTCATGACTTGGAAAGACTCATGTGAAGTGGACTCCATTACATCTGGCTAGCCACACCCACTTGAGACTGCAGCTCACCAGGAAAGCAAGGAGATACTAGTGACAAGGTGCATGAAGTCTGGAGCACTGAGCAGCACAGAGCAAGATTCATCCCCCTTTCCATGTCCTCAGTGTTTGATTCCCCGCATCCACTTTGCTGTGGTAAGAGAACATAACGTGATTGGCATTTGCCCTTTCCTTCCTGCCACCCTGACTATCTTGCAAAAATAGGCTTTAACTTAGTTTAAGCCACTTCATTTTCTTCCACACTTGTTGGGTTCATGTCCTCATCTTTTCAGTGCTATGTAGAGATTAGAGGAAGCACAATAAGAAAATACGGAATCACCTGCCAATGTAAGGAATGTGCTGTGCATTGTCACTTTCTAAATGTTGGACTCTCAGGGATCTGACATAATGGAGAGATGCTAATGCAAGAGAATTTCCATTGTATGAGATCATGTTTTCAGCATTAGGGAGACATCCATAGGAAATCTTCAAGTAGATCAGGGAGATAATGACACTGTGACTGAAGTGCTAGCAGTGACAGTGTCAGAAGCTGGGACAAAATCTCCAGAAAGCACCTGACACTGGGTGTGGTTAGCTAACTCTATATACCTATTCCATGTTCTCTTTAGGTGACATGGCACAGGGAGATGGGGGAAGATCTGGTTTCTCAGCTAGCATTGTAGACACAGTGCACACAGATTCTGTTGGAACAAAATGGCCAGGGAAGGCCAGCACTCCAGGAAGTCTTCTCACATCTGCATATGTGCTGAAGCACCTGTGCATTGTTGTTCACACATGATCATGTACATTTTGTAAAATGTATGCAGATCATGGAAATGTGTAAACATAGTTCATACATTTAAGATTCCAAAAGGGAAATCCACAAATATTGGAGCAAACAGTTGTCAAATAACTCAGCTCATTAATTTACTTACTTTTCTTTTCAAGTTTCTAAAGTATGGGTTGCTTATTGCTTGTCTGGCATTATTCAAAAATCACTGGTGTTGTCATATTTTTTGGTTGCTGAGTGTGCCCATATATTTCCAATTTCCCAACAATTCTTCCAGTGTGTGTACAAAGAGCCTCTTCCTCTCCTGGTGGGTGGGTGACCAGGGTTACCATTCAGTGGGTGAAAGCAAATCCAATACTCTCTGGCCTCTGCTCCCTGTTTTCTGGCCTCTGCCCTGAGTGTGTGCACGAGTAGACTGGCTCTCTCTGCAGGATCCTGGATACTTAATCTTCTGTTGAGGGGAGAGTTGACCTGGCTGTGGTCCACAAGCCACGAGATCAAAACGAGGGTGATTTGCAGGAATTTTTGGCTAGGATGGGGATCTGGAACTCACCTCTGCCCTTTGACCTGAGTGTGGGTGGAATTGGACCTCCCCCTTATTCTATTTTAAACTACAGAACCTCACTTGTTTCTCCCTAGTGTTCATGGCCCACGTTTTCTTTTCATTTGAATGGGGTCACAGAAAACAGGCCAAAACTATGAGCAATATGTTTCTAGAATTCATTGTACTTCTGCTCTCAAACACGCTGACTCTCTAGAAAACTTTCAAGACAGGCTTGTGCCATGCTCTGGTCCATGGAGGTTTATTTCCTCATGCTGCTTCTCAGCCTAAGTTCCTAGAATCCTTATCTAGCTGGAACTGAGTATTCCATGCTTATTGTCACACAAATACTGTACAAGTCTTGAGTATACTACGTACTAATTAAATTACTGAGGGCACTCCATCACAAATTCTTTTGCTTATAGCTAGGTTTGCAATGTGGAAGGCATGAGTAGAGTTTCCTCCATGCTGGGGTGTTCCCTAAATTCCTTCGTGATATCAGAATCAGTCTTTGTGGAAACTGCTATGTTATTGCTTATGCACAACCTTTTGATATGTGCACAACCACTCACAGTAGATTCTTCTAGAGGTAGTCTCAATAGACATGCTGTTTGTAAGATCTGCTCCTTATGTTGAATGCTTCCCAATGCCTCCTCTTCAATCCTTTTACTACTATAGTAGGGGATCCTAGGCTGGTTTTGGTATGTTCACTAAATTTACTATGCTGAATGACCACATGCTGTGTTTTCTTTAGTCTAATTTATTTAGTGAAATCTTTGTCTCTCAGACACATTCACACACACAGACACACACACACACACACACACACACACACACACACAATGCTATGTGTTTGTGTTATTGACAGCTAGAATGACCAGATGGCAGGATAGCAGGAGACAGCTTTTGATGTTCCCTATCTTCCATTTTCTCTCTTAGAAAAGGGGCACCATCAGAACTTACAAAGATGTAACTCTTTTACCCCAGTAATGTTTCCAAATTTTAATTCATGCAGGCATGACTATTGAGATCAGCAAGAAAGTTCCCTGGAAACCTATATAGAAATGAAGGATGATCTTGTAAAGGTGGCAGCTGACCTCCAAAGAAAAAACATGGAAGAGGAAGCATTTGTGGAGTACTACAAATTTTTAACGTGAGAGCTTGCTGTTCCCATCTCCTTTCCTGTGACTGACCCCTCACTAATACGGTCCTCTGGTTCATGCTTCTGTCCTGTGCTGACCTTATGGAACTTGACAAAGACATGTATTAGTCTGATTTCTGGCAACTCACACACATGCTTTTCCTTAATATTCAAAGACATGAGGACCAAAAGTGGTGGCATTTCAAGAGTAGTTCATAAGCTTGTGCCCACATGGCCCAGATTTGAGGGGAAACATTGGAAGGAAAGCATGATGTCTGAATTTGTGAGTGTGTTGAGTGCACAATCTAAACATAGGAATTCAGCCACAGGCTTATTTCTGTGTGTGCCAGATCCCAGAACTCCCTTCGCTTAATCCTGCAGTCTATTGATTAGGATAAGCAAGAGGTTAGCCTTTCCTGTAGCTACACAGTCAGCAGAGGACTGTAGACTACCTGGGGTCAACGTGGCTCAGGACAGGGTCATTGTAATTGGGTAGGCAGAATAAATACAAGGTGGCAGAGCTGTCACTTGAAATGACGCTTATATCCTCAGTGATATGAATGTTCTGTGTTTGAGGAAGGAGTGTTGGTAAATGTCTCACCCCTCATGCCTAGCGTGAGTTTGGTGAAACAGAACCTAACGGGATATGTGCAGGTGACTCTAAGGTGCCAAGCTCTGTGGAATAATGTGTGGGCATGACATCATTGAACTTCAGAAGACTGTGTGTGCTGAGCAGGCACATTGCCCTCACATTCTACAGAGGAAGAGAAAGTTCATGAACTCAGACACCACAGGCCACAATTCCAAGAGCATGGCTTCTTTGGTTTTCCATCATTGGCATTCTGCAAGGTGAAGGCAAATCTTGTGACTACACTAAATATCACTCTCATTTCTTCTCTCTTCCAAAGACAAATAAGTTTTACTAGGGGACTTCTGTGTCCTAACCAGACATCAGTTTGTCACACTGATTTTCAGTCCCACCCTCCACTCAAGAATATTTCTTGTTTCTTGGACTGACAAGAGTGTTGACATAGGTTAGCGGCCCGTCTGGGGGTGGTATCTGACTATGCACCACAGCACAGCTCCCCACAGCTCTATGTATCCCCAGTGTCTCTTTTCTCTACCTGTTGCTCTCAGAGGTGAGGTTGTGCCCCGCTGGAGTCAAGCACTGTGGTGTTGTTTGAGCAAACATCCATATACTTATTGCGTGTGGAAAAATGAGACCACTATCTGTATCCTGGTTTGAAGTTCAGTAGGATGGTCTGTTTCCTCACAGTCCTGTGAGTTCATTAACTCTATCTGTGCTCTACTGAGTGCTGGGATGACAAGCATGCACCATGTTGGCTTTCATGTACTTCTTAATGGCTGGTATTTACTAAATGTACCAGCTGATGGAAGAGTGAGGACTATTGTCTCTTCAGACACTGTAAGGGAAAAGGATGTGGGACTTCAGGATGTGCCTCTTCTCACTCCAGGACATTCTGAAACTGCATAGAGAGGCCTGATTTCTACAGGGTCTCATTTATACATTTGGAACTTCTCTACACACCATAGTCACTCTGCTTTATTCTTGTAGATCTATGTGGAGAAACTCAGAAAATGCCCTAAATAGCCCAACTCCATTTCCAAGGCAACAAGATCCAAAATCAATAAGTTGGGTCTTCACTGTCTATATGGCTAACCTGAAATCAGTAAAGAAACAGGGAGCTACTCAGAGAAAAGTCAGAGATCCTGACCCTCGGTGGGTGGGGAGCTGATGCTATCTCAGCATCACAGAACAGTGGAAAGTGATAGCATGTAAGGAAGTTCAAGTCATGTGTAAGATATTAGTCCCGCTCCCCATTTGTTTTCTCTCCCTCTTTTATGACTTTAGGACTCTTCTTTTTCTCCTTTTAGGGTTTGTGTTGCAGACTACAAATAGAGTCTTTGATATTGCCGAGACACTGAAGAGCAAACTCCTGAGACAATAAAGCAAGGAGTATTCAGGTTTCCTGGCAGATAAGGTCAGTGTGTGAGCATGAAGACAGGTTGTTTGTGTATCATCTAGTCAGCCTTTGACCGGGGACTGTGTTGTGCTGTTTTTGTGGAATCTGTGTTCAATACATGTACTCTACAATCACATAAACACACACACAAGCACACAGACACACACACATGCACACGCATATTGTGCACTTAGGTACTCCGAATATTGACAATGAATTGTTACTTAAGATTGCTATAGAGCAAGTGGGAAAGTGGCTGGATTTTTTTTTCATAGACCAGAGTTATGACAGAGAGCATGGAGACTGTGATGATGTGATAGACCTGAATACATCTCTACTTTGTTCATGTCTTTGCTGACAATTCTTTTTCCTCTATGATTTGAGGTATAAGACTAATCACTTTTCTCTATAAAAAAAGAGAAGTGGAAGAGGCAGAAATCAAGGCCCTCTGGGCAGATGTAAGGAATACAATCAAAAACTCCCCAGACTTTGTGAAATAGTGCTCTCCTGTGGATAGACTCGTGGATGGAGTTGATGAAGATAGTGGAGAGGTGGGCCCCAGATTGGAATCAGCATCAAAAATTTTTGAAGAATCTTTATCTGGAACCACTCCACAGGAAGCCTTTGAAGAGATCACCCTCAACACATCATCAGACAAGCACTGTGTGGAGACTAAGGTGGTAGAAAATCCCGGTAGCTCACCACCAGTTCATGACTTGGAAAGACTCATGTGAAGTGGACTCCATTACATCTGGCTAGCCACACCCACTTGAGACTGCAGCTCACCAGGAAAGCAAGGAGATACTAGTGACAAGGTGCATGAAGTCTGGAGCACTGAGCAGCACAGAGCAAGATTCATCCCCCTTTCCATGTCCTCAGTGTTTGATTCCCCGCATCCACTTTGCTGTGGTAAGAGAACATAACGTGATTGGCATTTGCCCTTTCCTTCCTGCCACCCTGACTATCTTGCAAAAATAGGCTTTAACTTAGTTTAAGCCACTTCATTTTCTTCCACACTTGTTGGGTTCATGTCCTCATCTTTTCAGTGCTATGTAGAGATTAGAGGAAGCACAATAAGAAAATACGGAATCACCTGCCAATGTAAGGAATGTGCTGTGCATTGTCACTTTCTAAATGTTGGACTCTCAGGGATCTGACATAATGGAGAGATGCTAAGGCAAGAGAATTTCCATTGTATGAGATCATGTTTTCAGCATTAGGGAGACATCCATAGGAAATCTTCAAGTAGATCAGGGAGATAATGACACTGTGACTGAAGTGCTAGCAGTGACAGTGTCAGAAGCTGGGACAAAATCTCCAGAAAGCACCTGACACTGGGTGTGGTTAGCTAACTCTATATACCTATTCCATGTTCTCTTTAGGTGACATGGCACAGGGAGATGGGGGAAGATCTGGTTTCTCAGCTAGCATTGTAGACACAGTGCACACAGATTCTGTTGGAACAAAATGGCCAGGGAAGGCCAGCACTCCAGGAAGTCTTCTCACATCTGCATATGTGCTGAAGCACCTGTGCATTGTTGTTCACACATGATCATGTACATTTTGTAAAATGTATGCAGATCATGGAAATGTGTAAACATAGTTCATACATTTAAGATTCCAAAAGGGAAATCCACAAATATTGGAGCAAACAGTTGTCAAATAACTCAGCTCATTAATTTACTTACTTTTCTTTTCAAGTTTCTAAAGTATGGGTTGCTTATTGCTTGTCTGGCATTATTCAAAAATCACTGGTGTTGTCATATTTTTTGGTTGCTGAGTGTGCCCATATATTTCCAATTTCCCAACAATTCTTCCAGTGTGTGTACAAAGAGCCTCTTCCTCTCCTGGTGGGTGGGTGACCAGGGTTACCATTCAGTGGGTGAAAGCAAATCCAATACTCTCTGGCCTCTGCTCCCTGTTTTCTGGCCTCTGCCCTGAGTGTGTGCACGAGTAGACTGGCTCTCTCTGCAGGATCCTGGATACTTAATCTTCTGTTGAGGGGAGAGTTGACCTGGCTGTGGTCCACAAGCCACGAGATCAAAACGAGGGTGATTTGCAGGAATTTTTGGCTAGGATGGGGATCTGGAACTCACCTCTGCCCTTTGACCTGAGTGTGGGTGGAATTGGACCTCCCCCTTATTCTATTTTAAACTACAGAACCTCACTTGTTTCTCCCTAGTGTTCATGGCCCACGTTTTCTTTTCATTTGAATGGGGTCACAGAAAACAGGCCAAAACTATGAGCAATATGTTTCTAGAATTCATTGTACTTCTGCTCTCAAACACGCTGACTCTCTAGAAAACTTTCAAGACAGGCTTGTGCCATGCTCTGGTCCATGGAGGTTTATTTCCTCATGCTGCTTCTCAGCCTAAGTTCCTAGAATCCTTATCTAGCTGGAACTGAGTATTCCATGCTTATTGTCACACAAATACTGTACAAGTCTTGAGTATACTACGTACTAATTAAATTACTGAGGGCACTCCATCACAAATTCTTTTGCTTATAGCTAGGTTTGCAATGTGGAAGGCATGAGTAGAGTTTCCTCCATGCTGGGGTGTTCCCTAAATTCCTTCGTGATATCAGAATCAGTCTTTGTGGAAACTGCTATGTTTATGCTTATGCACAACCTTTTGATATGTGCACAACCACTCACAGTAGATTCTTCTAGAGGTAGTCTCAATAGACATGCTGTTTGTAAGATCTGCTCCTTATGTTGAATGCTTCCCAATGCCTCCTCTTCAATCCTTTTACTACTATAGTAGGGGATCCTAGGCTGGTTTTGGTATGTTCACTAAATTTACTATGCTGAATGACCACATGCTGTGTTTTCTTTAGTCTAATTTATTTAGTGAAATCTTTGTCTCTCAGACACATTCACACACACAGACACACACACACACACACACACACACACACACACACAATGCTATGTGTTTGTGTTATTGACAGCTAGAATGACCAGATGGCAGGATAGCAGGAGACAGCTTTTGATGTTCCCTATCTTCCATTTTCTCTCTTAGAAAAGGGGCACCATCAGAACTTACAAAGATGTAACTCTTTTACCCCAGTAATGTTTCCAAATTTTAATTCATGCAGGCATGACTATTGAGATCAGCAAGAAAGTTCCCTGGAAACCTATATAGAAATGAAGGATGATCTTGTAAAGGTGGCAGCTGACCTCCAAAGAAAAAACATGGAAGAGGAAGCATTTGTGGAGTACTACAAATTTTTAACGTGAGAGCTTGCTGTTCCCATCTCCTTTCCTGTGACTGACCCCTCACTAATACGGTCCTCTGGTTCATGCTTCTGTCCTGTGCTGACCTTATGGAACTTGACAAAGACATGTATTAGTCTGATTTCTGGCAACTCACACACATGCTTTTCCTTAATATTCAAAGACATGAGGACCAAAAGTGGTGGCATTTCAAGAGTAGTTCATAAGCTTGTGCCCACATGGCCCAGATTTGAGGGGAAACATTGGAAGGAAAGCATGATGTCTGAATTTGTGAGTGTGTTGAGTGCACAATCTAAACATAGGAATTCAGCCACAGGCTTATTTCTGTGTGTGCCAGATCCCAGAACTCCCTTCGCTTAATCCTGTAGTCTATTGATTAGGATAAGCAAGAGGTTAGCCTTTCCTGTAGCTACACAGTCAGCAGAGGACTGTAGACTACCTGGGGTCAACGTGGCTCAGGACAGGGTCATTGTAATTGGGTAGGCAGAATAAATACAAGGTGGCAGAGCTGTCACTTGAAATGACGCTTATATCCTCAGTGATATGAATGTTCTGTGTTTGAGGAAGGAGTGTTGGTAAATGTCTCACCCCTCATGCCTAGCGTGAGTTTGGTGAAACAGAACCTAACGGGATATGTGCAGGTGACTCTAAGGTGCCAAGCTCTGTGGAATAATGTGTGGGCATGACATCATTGAACTTCAGAAGACTGTGTGTGCTGAGCAGGCACATTGCCCTCACATTCTACAGAGGAAGAGAAAGTTCATGAACTCAGACACCACAGGCCACAATTCCAAGAGCATGGCTTCTTTGGTTTTCCATCATTGGCATTCTGCAAGGTGAAGGCAAATCTTGTGACTACACTAAATATCACTCTCATTTCTTCTCTCTTCCAAAGACAAATAAGTTTTACTAGGGGACTTCTGTGTCCTAACCAGACATCAGTTTGTCACACTGATTTTCAGTCCCACCCTCCACTCAAGAATATTTCTTGTTTCTTGGACTGACAAGAGTGTTGACATAGGTTAGCGGCCCGTCTGGGGGTGGTATCTGACTATGCACCACAGCACAGCTCCCCACAGCTCTATGTACCCCCAGTGTCTCTTTTCTCTACCTGTTGCTCTCAGAGGTGAGGTTGTGCCCCGCTGGAGTCAAGCACTGTGGTGTTGTTTGAGCAAACATCCATATACTTATTGCGTGTGGAAAAATGAGACCACTATCTGTATCCTGGTTTGAAGTTCAGTAGGATGGTCTGTTTCCTCACAGTCCTGTGAGTTCATTAACTCTATCTGTGCTCTACTGAGTGCTGGGATGACAAGCATGCACCATGTTGGCTTTCATGTACTTCTTAATGGCTGGTATTTACTAAATGTACCAGCTGATGGAAGAGTGAGGACTATTGTCTCTTCAGACACTGTAAGGGAAAAGGATGTGGGACTTCAGGATGTGCCTCTTCTCACTCCAGGACATTCTGAAACTGCATAGAGAGGCCTGATTTCTACAGGGTCTCATTTATACATTTGGAACTTCTCTACACACCATAGTCACTCTGCTTTATTCTTGTAGATCTATGTGGAGAAACTCAGAAAATGCCCTAAATAGCCCAACTCCATTTCCAAGGCAACAAGATCCAAAATCAATAAGTTGGGTCTTCACTGTCTATATGGCTAACCTGAAATCAGTAAAGAAACAGGGAGCTACTCAGAGAAAAGTCAGAGATCCTGACCCTCGGTGGGTGGGGAGCTGATGCTATCTCAGCATCACAGAACAGTGGAAAGTGATAGCATGTAAGGAAGTTCAAGTCATGTGTAAGATATTAGTCCCGCTCCCCATTTGTTTTCTCTCCCTCTTTTATGACTTTAGGACTCTTCTTTTTCTCCTTTTAGGGTTTGTGTTGCAGACTACAAATAGAGTCTTTGATATTGCCGAGACACTGAAGAGCAAACTCCTGAGACAATAAAGCAAGGAGTATTCAGGTTTCCTGGCAGATAAGGTCAGTGTGTGAGCATGAAGACAGGTTGTTTGTGTATCATCTAGTCAGCCTTTGACCGGGGACTGTGTTGTGCTGTTTTTGTGGAATCTGTGTTCAATACATGTACTCTACAATCACATAAACACACACACAAGCACACAGACACACACACATGCACACGCATATTGTGCACTTAGGTACTCCGAATATTGACAATGAATTGTTACTTAAGATTGCTATAGAGCAAGTGGGAAAGGGGTTGGTTTTTTTTCATAGACCAGAGTTATGACAGAGAGCATGGAGACTGTGATGATGTGATAGACCTGAATACATCTCTACTTTGTTCATGTCTTTGCTGACAATTCTTTTTCCTCTATGATTTGAGGTATAAGACTAATCACTTTTCTCTATAAAAAAAGAGAAGTGGAAGAGGCAGAAATCAAGGCCCTCTGGGCAGATGTAAGGAATACAATCAAAAACTCCCCAGACTTTGTGAAATAGTGCTCTCCTGTGGATAGACTCGTGGATGGAGTTGATGAAGATAGTGGAGAGGTGGGCCCCAGATTGGAATCAGCATCAAAAATTTTTGAAGAATCTTTATCTGGAACCACTCCACAGGAAGCCTTTGAAGAGATCACCCCCAACACATCATCAGACAAGCACTGTGTGGAGACTAAGGTGGTAGAAAATCCCGGTAGCTCACCACCAGTTCATGACTTGGAAAGACTCATGTGAAGTGGACTCCATTACATCTGGCTAGCCACACCCACTTGAGACTGCAGCTCACCAGGAAAGCAAGGAGATACTAGTGACAAGGTGCATGAAGTCTGGAGCACTGAGCAGCACAGAGCAAGATTCATCCCCCTTTCCATGTCCTCAGTGTTTGATTCCCCGCATCCACTTTGCTGTGGTAAGAGAACATAACGTGATTGGCATTTGCCCTTTCCTTCCTGCCACCCTGACTATCTTGCAAAAATAGGCTTTAACTTAGTTTAAGCCACTTCATTTTCTTCCACACTTGTTGGGTTCATGTCCTCATCTTTTCAGTGCTATGTAGAGATTAGAGGAAGCACAATAAGAAAATACGGAATCACCTGCCAATGTAAGGAATGTGCTGTGCATTGTCACTTTCTAAATGTTGGACTCTCAGGGATCTGACATAATGGAGAGATGCTAATGCAAGAGAATTTCCATTGTATGAGATCATGTTTTCAGCATTAGGGAGACATCCATAGGAAATCTTCAAGTAGATCAGGGAGATAATGACACTGTGACTGAAGTGCTAGCAGTGACAGTGTCAGAAGCTGGGACAAAATCTCCAGAAAGCACCTGACACTGGGTGTGGTTAGCTAACTCTATATACCTATTCCATGTTCTCTTTAGGTGACATGGCACAGGGAGATGGGGGAAGATCTGGTTTCTCAGCTAGCATTGTAGACACAGTGCACACAGATTCTGTTGGAACAAAATGGCCAGGGAAGGCCAGCACTCCAGGAAGTCTTCTCACATCTGCATATGTGCTGAAGCACCTGTGCATTGTTGTTCACACATGATCATGTACATTTTGTAAAATGTATGCAGATCATGGAAATGTGTAAACATAGTTCATACATTTAAGATTCCAAAAGGGAAATCCACAAATATTGGAGCAAACAGTTGTCAAATAACTCAGCTCATTAATTTACTTACTTTTCTTTTCAAGTTTCTAAAGTATGGGTTGCTTATTGCTTGTCTGGCATTATTCAAAAATCACTGGTGTTGTCATATTTTTTGGTTGCTGAGTGTGCCCATATATTTCCAATTTCCCAACAATTCTTCCAGTGTGTGTACAAAGAGCCTCTTCCTCTCCTGGTGGGTGGGTGACCAGGGTTACCATTCAGTGGGTGAAAGCAAATCCAATACTCTCTGGCCTCTGCTCCCTGTTTTCTGGCCTCTGCCCTGAGTGTGTGCACGAGTAGACTGGCTCTCTCTGCAGGATCCTGGATACTTAATCTTCTGTTGAGGGGAGAGTTGACCTGGCTGTGGTCCACAAGCCACGAGATCAAAACGAGGGTGATTTGCAGGAATTTTTGGCTAGGATGGGGATCTGGAACTCACCTCTGCCCTTTGACCTGAGTGTGGGTGGAATTGGACCTCCCCCTTATTCTATTTTAAACTACAGAACCTCACTTGTTTCTCCCTAGTGTTCATGGCCCACGTTTTCTTTTCATTTGAATGGGGTCACAGAAAACAGGCCAAAACTATGAGCAATATGTTTCTAGAATTCATTGTACTTCTGCTCTCAAACACGCTGACTCTCTAGAAAACTTTCAAGACAGGCTTGTGCCATGCTCTGGTCCATGGAGGTTTATTTCCTCATGCTGCTTCTCAGCCTAAGTTCCTAGAATCCTTATCTAGCTGGAACTGAGTATTCCATGCTTATTGTCACACAAATACTGTACAAGTCTTGAGTATACTACGTACTAATTAAATTACTGAGGGCACTCCATCACAAATTCTTTTGCTTATAGCTAGGTTTGCAATGTGGAAGGCATGAGTAGAGTTTCCTCCATGCTGGGGTGTTCCCTAAATTCCTTCGTGATATCAGAATCAGTCTTTGTGGAAACTGCTATGTTTATGCTTATGCACAACCTTTTGATATGTGCACAACCACTCACAGTAGATTCTTCTAGAGGTAGTCTCAATAGACATGCTGTTTGTAAGATCTGCTCCTTATGTTGAATGCTTCCCAATGCCTCCTCTTCAATCCTTTTACTACTATAGTAGGGGATCCTAGGCTGGTTTTGGTATGTTCACTAAATTTACTCTGCTGAATGACCACATGCTGTGTTTTCTTTAGTCTAATTTATTTAGTGAAATCTTTGTCTCTCAGACACATTCACACACACAGACACACACACACACACACACACACACACACATACACACATGCTATGTGTTTGTGTTATTGACAGCTAGAATGACCAGATGGCAGGATAGCAGGAGACAGCTTTTGATGTTCCCTATCTTCCATTTTCTCTCTTAGAAAAGGGGCACCATCAGAACTTACAAAGATGTAACTCTTTTACCCCAGTAATGTTTCCAAATTTTAATTCATGCAGGCATGACTATTGAGATCAGCAAGAAAGTTCCCTGGAAACCTATATAGAAATGAAGGATGATCTTGTAAAGGTGGCAGCTGACCTCCAAAGAAAAAACATGGAAGAGGAAGCATTTGTGGAGTACCACAAATTTTTAACGTGAGAGCTTGCTGTTCCCATCTCCTTTCCTGTGACTGACCCCTCACTAATACTGTCCTCTGGTTCATGCTTCTGTCCTGTGCTGACCTTATGGAACTTGACAAAGACATGTATTAGTCTGATTTCTGGCAACTCACACACATGCTTTTCCTTAATATTCAAAGACATGAGGACCAAAAGTGGTGGCATTTCAAGAGTAGTTCATAAGCTTGTGCCCACATGGCCCAGATTTGAGGGGAAACATTGGAAGGAAAGCATGATGTCTGAATTTGTGAGTGTGTTGAGTGCACAATCTAAACATAGGAATTCAGCCACAGGCTTATTTCTGTGTGTGCCAGATCCCAGAACTCCCTTCGCTTAATCCTGCAGTCTATTGATTAGGATAAGCAAGAGGTTAGCCTTTCCTGTAGCTACACAGTCAGCAGAGGACTGTAGACTACCTGGGGTCAACGTGGCTCAGGACAGGGTCATTGTAATTGGGTAGGCAGAATAAATACAAGGTGGCAGAGCTGTCACTTGAAATGACGCTTATATCCTCAGTGATATGAATGTTCTGTGTTTGAGGAAGGAGTGTTGGTAAATGTCTCACCCCTCATGCCTAGCGTGAGTTTGGTGAAACAGAACCTAACGGGATATGTGCAGGTGACTCTAAGGTGCCAAGCTCTGTGGAATAATGTGTGGGCATGACATCATTGAACTTCAGAAGACTGTGTGTGCTGAGCAGGCACATTGCCCTCACATTCTACAGAGGAAGAGAAAGTTCATGAACTCAGACACCACAGGCCACAATTCCAAGAGCATGGCTTCTTTGGTTTTCCATCATTGGCATTCTGCAAGGTGAAGGCAAATCTTGTGACTACACTAAATATCACTCTCATTTCTTCTCTCTTCCAAAGACAAATAAGTTTTACTAGGGGACTTCTGTGTCCTAACCAGACATCAGTTTGTCACACTGATTTTCAGTCCCACCCTCCACTCAAGAATATTTCTTGTTTCTTGGACTGACAAGAGTGTTGACATAGGTTAGCGGCCCGTCTGGGGGTGGTATCTGACTATGCACCACAGCACAGCTCCCCACAGCTCTATGTACCCCCAGTGTCTCTTTTCTCTACCTGTTGCTCTCAGAGGTGAGGTTGTGCCCCGCTGGAGTCAAGCACTGTGGTGTTGTTTGAGCAAACATCCATATACTTATTGCGTGTGGAAAAATGAGACCACTATCTGTATCCTGGTTTGAAGTTCAGTAGGATGGTCTGTTTCCTCACAGTCCTGTGAGTTCATTAACTCTATCTGTGCTCTACTGAGTGCTGGGATGACAAGCATGCACCATGTTGGCTTTCATGTACTTCTTAATGGCTGGTATTTACTAAATGTACCAGCTGATGGAAGAGTGAGGACTATTGTCTCTTCAGACACTGTAAGGGAAAAGGATGTGGGACTTCAGGATGTGCCTCTTCTCACTCCAGGACATTCTGAAACTGCATAGAGAGGCCTGATTTCTACAGGGTCTCATTTATACATTTGGAACTTCTCTACACACCATAGTCACTCTGCTTTATTCTTGTAGATCTATGTGGAGAAACTCAGAAAATGCCCTAAATAGCCCAACTCCATTTCCAAGGCAACAAGATCCAAAATCAATAAGTTGGGTCTTCACTGTCTATATGGCTAACCTGAAATCAGTAAAGAAACAGGGAGCTACTCAGAGAAAAGTCAGAGATCCTGACCCTCGGTGGGTGGGGAGCTGATGCTATCTCAGCATCACAGAACAGTGGAAAGTGATAGCATGTAAGGAAGTTCAAGTCATGTGTAAGATATTAGTCCCGCTCCCCATTTGTTTTCTCTCCCTCTTTTATGACTTTAGGACTCTTCTTTTTCTCCTTTTAGGGTTTGTGTTGCAGACTACAAATAGAGTCTTTGATATTGCCGAGACACTGAAGAGCAAACTCCTGAGACAATAAAGCAAGGAGTATTCAGGTTTCCTGGCAGATAAGGTCAGTGTGTGAGCATGAAGACAGGTTGTTTGTGTATCATCTAGTCAGCCTTTGACCGGGGACTGTGTTGTGCTGTTTTTGTGGAATCTGTGTTCAATACATGTACTCTACAATCACATAAACACACACACAAGCACACAGACACACACACATGCACACGCATATTGTGCACTTAGGTACTCCGAATATTGACAATGAATTGTTACTTAAGATTGCTATAGAGCAAGTGGGAAAGGGGTTGGTTTTTTTTCATAGACCAGAGTTATGACAGAGAGCATGGAGACTGTGATGATGTGATAGACCTGAATACATCTCTACTTTGTTCATGTCTTTGCTGACAATTCTTTTTCCTCTATGATTTGAGGTATAAGACTAATCACTTTTCTCTATAAAAAAAGAGAAGTGGAAGAGGCAGAAATCAAGGCCCTCTGGGCAGATGTAAGGAATACAATCAAAAACTCCCCAGACTTTGTGAAATAGTGCTCTCCTGTGGATAGACTCGTGGATGGAGTTGATGAAGATAGTGGAGAGGTGGGCCCCAGATTGGAATCAGCATCAAAAATTTTTGAAGAATCTTTATCTGGAACCACTCCACAGGAAGCCTTTGAAGAGATCACCCCCAACACATCATCAGACAAGCACTGTGTGGAGACTAAGGTGGTAGAAAATCCCGGTAGCTCACCACCAGTTCATGACTTGGAAAGACTCATGTGAAGTGGACTCCATTACATCTGGCTAGCCACACCCACTTGAGACTGCAGCTCACCAGGAAAGCAAGGAGATACTAGTGACAAGGTGCATGAAGTCTGGAGCACTGAGCAGCACAGAGCAAGATTCATCCCCCTTTCCATGTCCTCAGTGTTTGATTCCCCGCATCCACTTTGCTGTGGTAAGAGAACATAACGTGATTGGCATTTGCCCTTTCCTTCCTGCCACCCTGACTATCTTGCAAAAATAGGCTTTAACTTAGTTTAAGCCACTTCATTTTCTTCCACACTTGTTGGGTTCATGTCCTCATCTTTTCAGTGCTATGTAGAGATTAGAGGAAGCACAATAAGAAAATACGGAATCACCTGCCAATGTAAGGAATGTGCTGTGCATTGTCACTTTCTAAATGTTGGACTCTCAGGGATCTGACATAATGGAGAGATGCTAAGGCAAGAGAATTTCCATTGTATGAGATCATGTTTTCAGCATTAGGGAGACATCCATAGGAAATCTTCAAGTAGATCAGGGAGATAATGACACTGTGACTGAAGTGCTAGCAGTGACAGTGTCAGAAGCTGGGACAAAATCTCCAGAAAGCACCTGACACTGGGTGTGGTTAGCTAACTCTATATACCTATTCCATGTTCTCTTTAGGTGACATGGCACAGGGAGATGGGGGAAGATCTGGTTTCTCAGCTAGCATTGTAGACACAGTGCACACAGATTCTGTTGGAACAAAATGGCCAGGGAAGGCCAGCACTCCAGGAAGTCTTCTCACATCTGCATATGTGCTGAAGCACCTGTGCATTGTTGTTCACACATGATCATGTACATTTTGTAAAATGTATGCAGATCATGGAAATGTGTAAACATAGTTCATACATTTAAGATTCCAAAAGGGAAATCCACAAATATTGGAGCAAACAGTTGTCAAATAACTCAGCTCATTAATTTACTTACTTTTCTTTTCAAGTTTCTAAAGTATGGGTTGCTTATTGCTTGTCTGGCATTATTCAAAAATCACTGGTGTTGTCATATTTTTTGGTTGCTGAGTGTGCCCATATATTTCCAATTTCCCAACAATTCTTCCAGTGTGTGTACAAAGAGCCTCTTCCTCTCCTGGTGGGTGGGTGACCAGGGTTACCATTCAGTGGGTGAAAGCAAATCCAATACTCTCTGGCCTCTGCTCCCTGTTTTCTGGCCTCTGCCCTGAGTGTGTGCACGAGTAGACTGGCTCTCTCTGCAGGATCCTGGATACTTAATCTTCTGTTGAGGGGAGAGTTGACCTGGCTGTGGTCCACAAGCCACGAGATCAAAACGAGGGTGATTTGCAGGAATTTTTGGCTAGGATGGGGATCTGGAACTCACCTCTGCCCTTTGACCTGAGTGTGGGTGGAATTGGACCTCCCCCTTATTCTATTTTAAACTACAGAACCTCACTTGTTTCTCCCTAGTGTTCATGGCCCACGTTTTCTTTTCATTTGAATGGGGTCACAGAAAACAGGCCAAAACTATGAGCAATATGTTTCTAGAATTCATTGTACTTCTGCTCTCAAACACGCTGACTCTCTAGAAAACTTTCAAGACAGGCTTGTGCCATGCTCTGGTCCATGGAGGTTTATTTCCTCATGCTGCTTCTCAGCCTAAGTTCCTAGAATCCTTATCTAGCTGGAACTGAGTATTCCATGCTTATTGTCACACAAATACTGTACAAGTCTTGAGTATACTACGTACTAATTAAATTACTGAGGGCACTCCATCACAAATTCTTTTGCTTATAGCTAGGTTTGCAATGTGGAAGGCATGAGTAGAGTTTCCTCCATGCTGGGGTGTTCCCTAAATTCCTTCGTGATATCAGAATCAGTCTTTGTGGAAACTGCTATGTTTATGCTTATGCACAACCTTTTGATATGTGCACAACCACTCACAGTAGATTCTTCTAGAGGTAGTCTCAATAGACATGCTGTTTGTAAGATCTGCTCCTTATGTTGAATGCTTCCCAATGCCTCCTCTTCAATCCTTTTACTACTATAGTAGGGGATCCTAGGCTGGTTTTGGTATGTTCACTAAATTTACTATGCTGAATGACCACATGCTGTGTTTTCTTTAGTCTAATTTATTTAGTGAAATCTTTGTCTCTCAGACACATTCACACACACAGACACACACACACACACACACACACACACACACACACACAATGCTATGTGTTTGTGTTATTGACAGCTAGAATGACCAGATGGCAGGATAGCAGGAGACAGCTTTTGATGTTCCCTATCTTCCATTTTCTCTCTTAGAAAAGGGGCACCATCAGAACTTACAAAGATGTAACTCTTTTACCCCAGTAATGTTTCCAAATTTTAATTCATGCAGGCATGACTATTGAGATCAGCAAGAAAGTTCCCTGGAAACCTATATAGAAATGAAGGATGATCTTGTAAAGGTGGCAGCTGACCTCCAAAGAAAAAACATGGAAGAGGAAGCATTTGTGGAGTACTACAAATTTTTAACGTGAGAGCTTGCTGTTCCCATCTCCTTTCCTGTGACTGACCCCTCACTAATACGGTCCTCTGGTTCATGCTTCTGTCCTGTGCTGACCTTATGGAACTTGACAAAGACATGTATTAGTCTGATTTCTGGCAACTCACACACATGCTTTTCCTTAATATTCAAAGACATGAGGACCAAAAGTGGTGGCATTTCAAGAGTAGTTCATAAGCTTGTGCCCACATGGCCCAGATTTGAGGGGAAACATTGGAAGGAAAGCATGATGTCTGAATTTGTGAGTGTGTTGAGTGCACAATCTAAACATAGGAATTCAGCCACAGGCTTATTTCTGTGTGTGCCAGATCCCAGAACTCCCTTCGCTTAATCCTGCAGTCTATTGATTAGGATAAGCAAGAGGTTAGCCTTTCCTGTAGCTACACAGTCAGCAGAGGACTGTAGACTACCTGGGGTCAACGTGGCTCAGGACAGGGTCATTGTAATTGGGTAGGCAGAATAAATACAAGGTGGCAGAGCTGTCACTTGAAATGACGCTTATATCCTCAGTGATATGAATGTTCTGTGTTTGAGGAAGGAGTGTTGGTAAATGTCTCACCCCTCATGCCTAGCGTGAGTTTGGTGAAACAGAACCTAACGGGATATGTGCAGGTGACTCTAAGGTGCCAAGCTCTGTGGAATAATGTGTGGGCATGACATCATTGAACTTCAGAAGACTGTGTGTGCTGAGCAGGCACATTGCCCTCACATTCTACAGAGGAAGAGAAAGTTCATGAACTCAGACACCACAGGCCACAATTCCAAGAGCATGGCTTCTTTGGTTTTCCATCATTGGCATTCTGCAAGGTGAAGGCAAATCTTGTGACTACACTAAATATCACTCTCATTTCTTCTCTCTTCCAAAGACAAATAAGTTTTACTAGGGGACTTCTGTGTCCTAACCAGACATCAGTTTGTCACACTGATTTTCAGTCCCACCCTCCACTCAAGAATATTTCTTGTTTCTTGGACTGACAAGAGTGTTGACATAGGTTAGCGGCCCGTCTGGGGGTGGTATCTGACTATGCACCACAGCACAGCTCCCCACAGCTCTATGTACCCCCAGTGTCTCTTTTCTCTACCTGTTGCTCTCAGAGGTGAGGTTGTGCCCCGCTGGAGTCAAGCACTGTGGTGTTGTTTGAGCAAACATCCATATACTTATTGCGTGTGGAAAAATGAGACCACTATCTGTATCCTGGTTTGAAGTTCAGTAGGATGGTCTGTTTCCTCACAGTCCTGTGAGTTCATTAACTCTATCTGTGCTCTACTGAGTGCTGGGATGACAAGCATGCACCATGTTGGCTTTCATGTACTTCTTAATGGCTGGTATTTACTAAATGTACCAGCTGATGGAAGAGTGAGGACTATTGTCTCTTCAGACACTGTAAGGGAAAAGGATGTGGGACTTCAGGATGTGCCTCTTCTCACTCCAGGACATTCTGAAACTGCATAGAGAGGCCTGATTTCTACAGGGTCTCATTTATACATTTGGAACTTCTCTACACACCATAGTCACTCTGCTTTATTCTTGTAGATCTATGTGGAGAAACTCAGAAAATGCCCTAAATAGCCCAACTCCATTTCCAAGGCAACAAGATCCAAAATCAATAAGTTGGGTCTTCACTGTCTATATGGCTAACCTGAAATCAGTAAAGAAACAGGGAGCTACTCAGAGAAAAGTCAGAGATCCTGACCCTCGGTGGGTGGGGAGCTGATGCTATCTCAGCATCACAGAACAGTGGAAAGTGATAGCATGTAAGGAAGTTCAAGTCATGTGTAAGATATTAGTCCCGCTCCCCATTTGTTTTCTCTCCCTCTTTTATGACTTTAGGACTCTTCTTTTTCTCCTTTTAGGGTTTGTGTTGCAGACTACAAATAGAGTCTTTGATATTGCCGAGACACTGAAGAGCAAACTCCTGAGACAATAAAGCAAGGAGTATTCAGGTTTCCTGGCAGATAAGGTCAGTGTGTGAGCATGAAGACAGGTTGTTTGTGTATCATCTAGTCAGCCTTTGACCGGGGACTGTGTTGTGCTGTTTTTGTGGAATCTGTGTTCAATACATGTACTCTACAATCACATAAACACACACACAAGCACACAGACACACACACATGCACATGCATATTGTGCACTTAGGTACTCCGAATATTGACAATGAATTGTTACTTAAGATTGCTATAGAGCAAGTGGGAAAGGGGTTGGTTTTTTTTTCATAGACCAGAGTTATGACAGAGAGCATGGAGACTGTGATGATGTGATAGACCTGAATACATCTCTACTTTGTTCATGTCTTTGCTGACAATTCTTTTTCCTCTATGATTTGAGGTATAAGACTAATCAATTTTCTCTATAAAAAAGAGAAGTGGAAGAGGCAGAAATCAAGGCCCTCTGGGCAGATGTAAGGAATACAATCAAAAACTCCCCAGACTTTGTGAAATAGTGCTCTCCTGTGGATAGACTCGTGGATGGAGTTGATGAAGATAGTGGAGAGGTGGGCCCCAGATTGGAATCAGCATCAAAAATTTTTGAAGAATCTTTATCTGGAACCACTCCACAGGAAGCCTTTGAAGAGATCACCCTCAACACATCATCAGACAAGCACTGTGTGGAGACTAAGGTGGTAGAAAATCCCGGTAACTCACCACCAGTTCATGACTTGGAAAGACTCATGTGAAGTGGACTCCATTACATCTGGCTAGCCACACCCACTTGAGACTGCAGCTCACCAGGAAAGCAAGGAGATACTAGTGACAAGGTGCATGAAGTCTGGAGCACTGAGCAGCACAGAGCAAGATTCATCCCCCTTTCCATGTCCTCAGTGTTTGATTCCCCGCATCCACTTTGCTGTGGTAAGAGAACATAACGTGATTGGCATTTGCCCTTTCCTTCCTGCCACCCTGACTATCTTGCAAAAATAGGCTTTAACTTAGTTTAAGCCACTTCATTTTCTTCCACACTTGTTGGGTTCATGTCCTCATCTTTTCAGTGCTATGTAGAGATTAGAGGAAGCACAATAAGAAAATACGGAATCACCTGCCAATGTAAGGAATGTGCTGTGCATTGTCACTTTCTAAATGTTGGACTCTCAGGGATCTGACATAATGGAGAGATGCTAAGGCAAGAGAATTTCCATTGTATGAGATCATGTTTTCAGCATTAGGGAGACATCCATAGGAAATCTTCAAGTAGATCAGGGAGATAATGACACTGTGACTGAAGTGCTAGCAGTGACAGTGTCAGAAGCTGGGACAAAATCTCCAGAAAGCACCTGACACTGGGTGTGGTTAGCTAACTCTATATACCTATTCCATGTTCTCTTTAGGTGACATGGCACAGGGAGATGGGGGAAGATCTGGTTTCTCAGCTAGCATTGTAGACACAGTGCACACAGATTCTGTTGGAACAAAATGGCCAGGGAAGGCCAGCACTCCAGGAAGTCTTCTCACATCTGCATATGTGCTGAAGCACCTGTGCATTGTTGTTCACACATGATCATGTACATTTTGTAAAATGTATGCAGATCATGGAAATGTGTAAACATAGTTCATACATTTAAGATTCCAAAAGGGAAATCCACAAATATTGGAGCAAACAGTTGTCAAATAACTCAGCTCATTAATTTACTTACTTTTCTTTTCAAGTTTCTAAAGTATGGGTTGCTTATTGCTTGTCTGGCATTATTCAAAAATCACTGGTGTTGTCATATTTTTTGGTTGCTGAGTGTGCCCATATATTTCCAATTTCCCAACAATTCTTCCAGTGTGTGTACAAAGAGCCTCTTCCTCTCCTGGTGGGTGGGTGACCAGGGTTACCATTCAGTGGGTGAAAGCAAATCCAATACTCTCTGGCCTCTGCTCCCTGTTTTCTGGCCTCTGCCCTGAGTGTGTGCACGAGTAGACTGGCTCTCTCTGCAGGATCCTGGATACTTAATCTTCTGTTGAGGGGAGAGTTGACCTGGCTGTGGTCCACAAGCCACGAGATCAAAACGAGGGTGATTTGCAGGAATTTTTGGCTAGGATGGGGATCTGGAACTCACCTCTGCCCTTTGACCTGAGTGTGGGTGGAATTGGACCCCCCCCTTATTCTATTTTAAACTACAGAACCTCACTTGTTTCTCCCTAGTGTTCATGGCCCACGTTTTCTTTTCATTTGAATGGGGTCACAGAAAACAGGCCAAAACTATGAGCAATATGTTTCTAGAATTCATTGTACTTCTGCTCTCAAACACGCTGACTCTCTAGAAAACTTTCAAGACAGGCTTGTGCCATGCTCTGGTCCATGGAGGTTTATTTCCTCATGCTGCTTCTCAGCCTAAGTTCCTAGAATCCTTATCTAGCTGGAACTGAGTATTCCATGCTTATTGTCACACAAATACTGTACAAGTCTTGAGTATACTACGTACTAATTAAATTACTGAGGGCACTCCATCACAAATTCTTTTGCTTATAGCTAGGTTTGCAATGTGGAAGGCATGAGTAGAGTTTCCTCCATGCTGGGGTGTTCCCTAAATTCCTTCGTGATATCAGAATCAGTCTTTGTGGAAACTGCTATGTTATTGCTTATGCACAACCTTTTGATATGTGCACAACCACTCACAGTAGATTCTTCTAGAGGTAGTCTCAATAGACATGCTGTTTGTAAGATCTGCTCCTTATGTTGAATGCTTCCCAATGCCTCCTCTTCAATCCTTTTACTACTATAGTAGGGGACCCTAGGCTGGTTTTGGTATGTTCACTAAATTTACTCTGCTGATTGACCACATGCTGTGTTTTCTTTAGTCTAATTTATTTAGTGAAATCTTTGTCTCTCAGACACATTCACACACACAGACACACACACACACACACACACACACACACACACACACACTGCTATGTGTTTGTGTTATTGACAGCTAGAATCACCAGATGGCAGGATAGCAGGAGACAGCTTTTGATGTTCCCTATCTTCCATTTTCTCTCTTAGAAAAGGGGCACCATCAGAACTTACAAAGATGTAACTCTTTTACCCCAGTAATGTTTCCAAATTTTAATTCATGCAGGCATGACTATTGAGATCAGCAAGAAAGTTCCCTGGAAACCTATATAGAAATGAAGGATGATCTTGTAAAGGTGGCAGCTGACCTCCAAAGAAAAAACATGGAAGAGGAAGCATTTGTGGAGTACTACAAATTTTTAACGTGAGAGCTTGCTGTTCCCATCTCCTTTCCTGTGACTGACCCCTCACTAATACGGTCCTCTGGTTCATGCTTCTGTCCTGTGCTGACCTTATGGAACTTGACAAAGACATGTATTAGTCTGATTTCTGGCAACTCACACACATGCTTTTCCTTAATATTCAAAGACATGAGGACCAAAAGTGGTGGCATTTCAAGAGTAGTTCATAAGCTTGTGCCCACATGGCCCAGATTTGAGGGGAAACATTGGAAGGAAAGCATGATGTCTGAATTTGTGAGTGTGTTGAGTGCACAATCTAAACATAGGAATTCAGCCACAGGCTTATTTCTGTGTGTGCCAGATCCCAGAACTCCCTTCGCTTAATCCTGCAGTCTATTGATTAGGATAAGCAAGAGGTTAGCCTTTCCTGTAGCTACACAGTCAGCAGAGGACTGTAGACTACCTGGGGTCAACGTGGCTCAGGACAGGGTCATTGTAATTGGGTAGGCAGAATAAATACAAGGTGGCAGAGCTGTCACTTGAAATGACGCTTATATCCTCAGTGATATGAATGTTCTGTGTTTGAGGAAGGAGTGTTGGTAAATGTCTCACCCCTCATGCCTAGCGTGAGTTTGGTGAAACAGAACCTAACGGGATATGTGCAGGTGACTCTAAGGTGCCAAGCTCTGTGGAATAATGTGTGGGCATGACATCATTGAACTTCAGAAGACTGTGTGTGCTGAGCAGGCACATTGCCCTCACATTCTACAGAGGAAGAGAAAGTTCATGAACTCAGACACCACAGGCCACAATTCCAAGAGCATGGCTTCTTTGGTTTTCCATCATTGGCATTCTGCAAGGTGAAGGCAAATCTTGTGACTACACTAAATATCACTCTCATTTCTTCTCTCTTCCAAAGACAAATAAGTTTTACTAGGGGACTTCTGTGTCCTAACCAGACATCAGTTTGTCACACTGATTTTCAGTCCCACCCTCCACTCAAGAATATTTCTTGTTTCTTGGACTGACAAGAGTGTTGACATAGGTTAGCGGCCCGTCTGGGGGTGGTATCTGACTATGCACCACAGCACAGCTCCCCACAGCTCTATGTACCCCCAGTGTCTCTTTTCTCTACCTGTTGCTCTCAGAGGTGAGGTTGTGCCCCGCTGGAGTCAAGCACTGTGGTGTTGTTTGAGCAAACATCCATATACTTATTGCGTGTGGAAAAATGAGACCACTATCTGTATCCTGGTTTGAAGTTCAGTAGGATGGTCTGTTTCCTCACAGTCCTGTGAGTTCATTAACTCTATCTGTGCTCTACTGAGTGCTGGGATGACAAGCATGCACCATGTTGGCTTTCATGTACTTCTTAATGGCTGGTATTTACTAAATGTACCAGCTGATGGAAGAGTGAGGACTATTGTCTCTTCAGACACTGTAAGGGAAAAGGATGTGGGACTTCAGGATGTGCCTCTTCTCACTCCAGGACATTCTGAAACTGCATAGAGAGGCCTGATTTCTACAGGGTCTCATTTATACATTTGGAACTTCTCTACACACCATAGTCACTCTGCTTTATTCTTGTAGATCTATGTGGAGAAACTCAGAAAATGCCCTAAATAGCCCAACTCCATTTCCAAGGCAACAAGATCCAAAATCAATAAGTTGGGTCTTCACTGTCTATATGGCTAACCTGAAATCAGTAAAGAAACAGGGAGCTACTCAGAGAAAAGTCAGAGATCCTGACCCTCGGTGGGTGGGGAGCTGATGCTATCTCAGCATCACAGAACAGTGGAAAGTGATAGCATGTAAGGAAGTTCAAGTCATGTGTAAGATATTAGTCGCGCTCCCCATTTGTTTTCTCTCCCTCTTTTATGACTTTAGGACTCTTCTTTTTCTCCTTTTAGGGTTTGTGTTGCAGACTACAAATAGAGTCTTTGATATTGCCGAGACACTGAAGAGCAAACAGTTGTCAAATAACTCAGCTCATTAAATTACCTACTTTTCTTTTCAAGTTTCTAAAGTATGGGTTGATTGTTGCTTGTCTCTTCTTGAATGAGAAGCTCAAGCCAAATTGCAATGCTCTTCTCAATGAGGCCCAAATAAGAGTCAGCCTTTCCTAGCTCTGAGCTGTGTTTTCAGCAAACCACACATTTCCAGATGCAAATGACAGCATCAGTCTTAGCCAGCCTAGAGCCAGTGTACTTGGCATTCTACATATTTGCATGATATAACATGGGAGCAGGAGTAAACTGTTCTGTTCTATTGGACTTTAGAAATAATCAGGAAAGTGTGAGTGGCCCCAGGTCAGTTGAGAAAACTGTCCCTTATATATTGTTGAGCTTAGTGCACCATCTTCAATCAGCATGGCAGTCTTGGGCTGTGACTTATGTAGGCTATATTGTATATGGATAACCCTGCAGTTACATGTTATCAAGGATCTACCCAATACCTACAACACACCTTAGTGGGGATTGTGTGTGATGTTATGATATTGAGAAAGTCTCTGCATGTTTCCATGCTGCCTGAAACCTTAAAATTTGATAGAGTTTCTCATGGGCTCACAGGTTTTTTGGGGGGAAATGATCTACATGCCTGAGCATGACCACTGCAGGCTTTCTTCAAGGCAGAAGATCTGGAATGCTAGCAGTTTGGCCCATTCTATATCTGCAAGGCACATGCCATGAAAAACACTCTTGTGAGATTCAGTCTCAAGTCCCAAGAGGACCAAGGGAAATGTACCCCTGACATAAGAGTGCAGGGAACAGCAGACCTGGAGATCTGAAACATGGATAAAGAAGACATGTCTGTACCAGGATAGACACATGGGAGGTTTACCTTTTCTCTGTGTGTTTGTCCTGTTGAGCTCCTAGTAGCCTTCATGTTACCCACCTGAAGTGAGAGCAAACTTTGCCCACTGAGTCTGTGAACACACACAGAAATTTCTTTACAACTCACTGTCACACCCAGAAATATGTTGATCCATCCACTATGCTGACAGTGAAGTCATGCTAACAGCTACAACTCAGCTATGGCCAGTACTTGGAGAAGGAACTCCCTGTCTGCTTTTTGGTTTCATTATGGGGAGGGGATTCCTGGAGAGATTCCCAATGTCTTTGTGAATTTTATCCAGGTCACCAGAGCTGAGATCTGCTCAGGGACACTAGACCCTGTACCCTCAGACTTCTCTCTCTTTTCTATTGCAGGTCAAAACTCCAAAGTCCTCCACACTGTGGTCTTTCCAAAGTATGCTTGTGATCTGTTCCTCTGTTCTGCATGGAAGATCACCTAAAAAGGCACAGAGATATGTGGTGTACTATGTGGTACTCTGGTAAAGATAAAAAAACTCCATGCTGATATGAGGCTGCTTCTTCCCGTTTGGGTGCACACAACTCCCAGAAAACATATCCAGAGGCTATGTCCATATATTTCACACCACAGAAGTAACCCTGGATGACATGGCCTGGCCACCTTGGATTTGATGATGATTGTATTTTGTTGCTTTGAAGAGTGCCTTGATTTGATACATTTGCCTAAAACCAATAGGGTGAAATATTCATTCTAGTCATGGTTAATGCCTATAAACCCAGACACTGGCACACTGAGACTGGAGGCTTCCTACAAGTTCAAACCAAGCTCAAATACAGAGTGAGACACTGATGTAAAACAGGAGGGCAGGGAAGCAGAAAGGCAGGAACAAGGCATGGAGGCAGGCACATTGAGTAATTATAAAAGAAGGAGGACTCAGTTCCTTGTGTGGCCTTGTCTGAGAAATTGCTCTGTAGTACACCTTTGAATACAAAGTAAACACTACCAGACAGTGAAGCAGACCTACTGGATGCCTCAAGTGAAGACCACGGACCAAAGATGTGCTAGGAGGTACATCTCATGTTCATCTAATCATCCTTGCTTTTATATGGTACTCCAGAAAAATACTGGAGCAGTCAAGGTGGGGAAACACTGAGGTCAGAGAGAAGGATGAGAGTCATTCAATGGGGTGAGGGCTTCACTTAGCTTATGTGAGACAGTGAGATTGACAGTGCCAGGGAGTTATAACAAGCAGTTTTCTCTTGGTAGGTAAAGTAAGAATACCATATAATCCATACAGTCATTCCCACACAAAATGGAAGGACTGAATATTGCTATGCCAAGAAAAGGAGGAAATTTTATGTATCCAGGAAGAACTGGGCCTTCTCAACCTCCCTGATTGTGGGCTCCTGTTTGATGTGCACTGCCTAGGTCTTTCTCTGTACAATTCCCTGTGAGTAGATCGAGAATCATAGCTTCCCAATGATGAATGAGAACATGATGTCCAGACCATGTGCCTAACAGCTGTATGAATGGAAGTATTTTAACTAAGTCAAGAGAGTTTATTCTAATGACTGCATTTTGTCTTTATGAAGAAGCACTTGAATTGTGCACACACAAAGAGTTTTCCAGTATTAGACATGCTGTACAGTCTTGTGGTATCTTCAAGGAAACTCAGTTCCTCCTTCTCTACAGAGATTTTGAGAATGATTATCTCATTTTGAGGGCCACAAATGGCACAGAACAAGCAGAATTTCTAGGAATGGAAATGTATAAGCCAAACTCAGATAGATATTTCTAGGTTTTGAGAGATGAAAAAGTACTTTTGCATTCACAGTTCAGGAAGTGCTGATGTGTGAGGCAGTCTTCTGTGTCTTCATGCTTCAGTTGCATAAGTTCTTATTGCTTTGTCTAACAGAAACATACCATGGTAAATGGAAATCTGACCTTTGTATCTGGACTCAAATGGAAGATGACACAGAAAGTTAGCATCAATTCACATGAGGCAGAGTGAATTCTATTCTTCAGGAGGTAGATACAGGGCACTGTGGGTTTCAGACCAAGAGGTGTCCCACTTGAGGTGAATTATGATGACTTGTAAAGAGGCACCAAAAGAGAGTTCCATGGCAGAGTTGTCATACATCAGTGAGCAGTCCTGTTGGCATATATATATATATATATATATATATATGTGTGTGTGTGTATAATATTATATATATTATATTATCCTTGGTGTTAGAAAAGGAATGCAGGTTTGTGTCATACTCTCCATTGTTGGGCAAGAGCAGGTAGAACAGTGGTGTTTTGTGTAAAGAAAAGCTCTTCAGGTTTTTGGGCAGAACAATGATGTGACCGAACCAGACTCCAGAATGTAAAATGAAGGAGTTGCAAGACTTGTTGCAGTGAGGAGGTCAGTTAATGTTTGGGAGCTGCTAATTTCCAATGATGAGGACACATTGTTGGCCATGTGTTCAGGAATATTCGATTTCAGAGACCTAGCGGCTGACGAATTGAGGTTGTCAAGTCTGTGACAGGGCAGGTTTGGATTTGTGGTCATGCAGATGGCAGTGATCCCACCATAGTCATGAACAGGGCATCTAAAGGAAGACTGACTTTGGAAATGATTCCCAGGCAACTGAGGAGGAGGCATAAAGTGAGCAGGAACCTGCTGTGGGGTGCCAGAGACACAAGCTGCAGGAGAAATGCCTATGGGGTTCACAGGTGCCACGTAGCAGGGTCAGCATGAGGAGGAATTCGGAATGTAACCCAGGAACAGGCTCCATCAGGAAGTGGATTTAGATCCCATGCTGAAGCTGGATCTCACTGAGCATGTTGGCTAATGAGTTTTAGGTCATGTTGGCAAGGTTTAAAGGAGCCATAGAAAGCTAGGGTGTACTGGCACAGTCCTGGAATCCTATCAATCAGGTCATGAGACTGCTGGATGGTGATTTTGACACCAAGTTTTGCTACAAGGGAAGACCGAGGCTTGAAAAAAATATGTGCTGAATTTATGTCTATTATAGTCTAACAGAACTCTCATGTTGAGCCTTACATCTAGACTTTAGATCCCAGAGAAAGGGGAGTGATGAGACCACTCTTTATAGAACCTGTTCAACAGAGTCCTCAAATGTACAGGAACTGGGAAATGTTTTGATCAAGGTTTTGTCCAGTTGGTTTTGTTCTCTTCATTTTACCATTTTTGACTTCCTTTCTGTTTACAAAGGCTTTATATTTTAAAATAAAGCTTACATAAATGAACAGTGTATTTAATAACTCCTGTGAGGAAACATCTAAGTGCATACACCACTTAGACAAGGAAACAGGAACCTTTTAAGAGCCTTGCCAGTTTTGCTATTTCTTTCTTTTGAGATTGATTACTTCCTCAATTTCTTTAGAGTTCATCATCTCAGTGTGACTCCCTCCATGCTATCAGTATTTCAGTACTGCTTGAGTCTTGAAATGCAGTGTTTAGGTATTTGACTTCTACATCTGGATTGCTTAACTTAACATCTGTAATATTCATCTCCACTCTGGCATTCAATTTTCTGAGGTGTGTTTACACCTGGTGTGCCAGTGATGTAGGGGATGGAAGAGAAGAAAGGAGACATAACATAATTCAACAGTAGTTGGTACAGTACCACATCAGAAGAGTATAAGGGGATCCTCTTCACATAGGGAGAAATTACACAGGTCGCTGTGGCATCATTGAAGGTAGGGAGCTGATGACCCAGAGAGACTGCTGAACTGATGTTTGAAGTAGTCCTGGGAATTCTTGGCGAAGATGGAATCAGAGTCTCCTGTTGGCAGGAGGGAATCAGAGGTAGGTTAGAAGTTGAAGGACAAAATTTACAGTTGAGACATCAAGTAAAAGTGGGCATGGATGTACAAAGGATCTTGTCCTCAGTGAGAGATCAGCTAAGAATTAATTGATTAAAGCTCAGCTTCTTCTGAACTTTATGGATCAGTGGGACAAAAGTGATCATTCCCTCTTCCTTCTCTACCTATCAGACCAGACAATTGTCCTGTCATCATTTGGTAAATCATGGTGGATTCTTTGTCTTCTCAGTTCCATCAATGCCTTGCAGGCTTCTTATTGAGTGGGAACTAACTCACACACTTTTTGCTACAAAGAGATGCTGCCAGAATTAATTCTAGTGGTTTTCTCACCCAAATATAAACAGAGTATATAGGATTCGAGCCTCTATGACTCAGAACACTTCAAAAACTAAGTAACTTCCAGAGGGTTTCAACTGGATGCTATGGAAGTCTTCCTTTTAGGTGCATATTCTAATTAGCACCGTCTGCTCTTAAAAGATATGCTGACACCACTGCTGAGTTTCTAAGAAAAGTTGCCAAGAAGCAACCTCAAGAGCCAGAGTTTGAAGAAATTCAACACCATACACTGCATATGAATGCCATTTCTAATGATATGCAATACCATTTTAGTCTGAATTCTTCAGCAGATCTAGTGTTGGAAAAGTAAGGAAATCATCCTGCATTCATTTCTAATAATTTTTCTATCTTGTGATGTTGTCCCACAGGGACTAGCGGTTTTTGGTTTTAGCACAACAACCCCCTAGTTACTCAAAATGGTTAGCCTGAAAAGATCTAAATTTTGCTCGATTCATCTTCCTTCTCATTTCTACTGTGCCTTTGCATCATTAGGTCAGTGTTCAATGATGAGATCCAGAGAGAGACAGAGAGGGAGGTACGTATAAAGGGGCAAGAAGAAGGAGTGGGAGGAGGAGGAGGATGAGAGGAAGAGGAAGAGAAAGAGAGGATGGAGGACCATGAGGACTATGAATAGGAAGAAAAGATCCAAGAGGAGGACAACAGTGACAGTGATGAGCAAGAATAGGAGGAAGAGTTCCATATGTTCCCTAAAGGAAGACAAGAAGTGTGGAAAAGAGAAGAGCCAGGAGGAGAGTAGGAGGACAGAGAAAGGAAGAAAATTGAGAGGAGGATGAGGAAGAGAAATAAGGGAGAGGAGAGATATGGAGAGTAGAAAGAAGAAGGAGACTTGAGGGGATGTAATTTTCACACTGACAACTTTTGTATTAAAGGAAATATCATTTTGCTCCTGGAGAAGCTGCAATTCCCAAAATTAGGACCAACTTTCTTTCTCAGTCAACAACTTTTGCTTTACACTTGAAGACATATACAGGAGGTTGAATAAGTTTTGTCATTAAAATAAATTTCATAATATTTTACAAGTTAGTAGCTTTCATAAGGCAGGATTTTAAACTTTATCCTTATTTATACTTGAGACTTAAAATTTGAGTTGAAGATTTAAAGTCCTTCTGTTATCAAAAAAACAGTAAACCATAGATAGACAGGAAAAACTTTCTGATCCTTTTTATAGTCTATCATTATAAAATATCACAGTTTCTTTTATGACTCAGTTTATCCTACTAGCTAAAGTTGAGCAAAGACAAAGAGGCTAGACATTTATCTTTAAGTAAGTTACTGTTAACCTGAGTAGACCCCAGGAATACATAAACATTATTTGTCAAATATATATTGTTCCTTATTTAAATTTAGAATCCTGGTGTTGAACATAGTATTAGACATGGTAGTTAGGGATACATCTCTAAGTCAGTCTTCATTAATAGGCAAGAAAAACTGAGCACGGAGAATTAGGAGGTAGTGTTGATCACAACTGCCATCTTGTCTCTCCATCATCTCCCCAAACTGCACTTTCAAGGTCACTCAGCAGCTCAAACCTCAAAAGACTTTCAGAGTTCCTCTGAGAAATGACAGCAGACTTGGTTGGTGCCATGGATCACACACACAGGGCAAAACTGTAGACTTAAACAACTGGTTTCTGTGAGACCTGGCAGCCCTTTTCTGGCATTCTTCTGGACAGAGTTTATGGAAGGAAGGACACATATGATAAATGTTAAGCTAATCAGACATGAAAGAAGAAGAGAGAGGCAGAAAAACAGGTGACAGGCACACACACAATTATACAGGGAGAAAGAGACAGACAAAGATAGGGACAGTTGTTACTCACATGGGGAGAGGTTTTAAAATCGTTTATGAGATAAATGAAGTATATTGTGAACTTTTATTGCTTCATTGTTGGAAAATGCAGCAACTTTATCAAATTTATACTTGTATTCAATATATTCAGTAGAATTCCCTTCTGTCATCTCCTTCCATGCTGCCCCTGTGTGACAGTTTAGTCTTAGTCCATTTAGAGTGACTTCAAGAGCACAAAGCAGTACGACTTAACACAGAGGCATTAAATAGAGGTTAGTATTGGATACTAATTTCTATGATAAGGCAATTGGAATGCAAATTATTTGCAAAAACCAGCTTTGTCTGAAGACCTAGTCATAAGGGCCTCAGAGGTTAATCTAAAACAAATTTGCTAAAACAACACAAAACAATCATTTAGTTACCTACTGCACCAAACTCAGTACTCACATGTGTGTCATAACTAGTTTAAAATCACTTTTCTAATTCAGAAGCTATTTGATAAAGAGCTGGCAAAGCCCATGTAAATCATGATGCAGATGCTTGGCAGTCAGCCTGCTTCTGGGTCTACTGAAGCTAATAGGTACCAGAAAAACTTATACCCTGCAGGAACAGGTGCAGACATCCCTCAACAGCAACCGTGACTACTGCCTGGATGCCTATAGGTATTGAGCCTCCTACCCAGCAAAGATGCTCATGGCTGCCAGGAGTAATCCCGACACTCCACATGGGCTAGTGG